TTCCCCTTTCCCTCCTCTTCCCCTTCCCTTCTCTCCCTCCCTTCCCTGTGTCCATCTCCTCCACACCTGGTACCATCACACAGAAGCAGAGAGGACTACACTTGGTGAAAGTTTCAATTCTCCCGCATTGAGGAGGGGTGGGGGCCGTCTTTGCCGAGTCTTTCCAGCCCACCAATCCCTTGCCCAGTGTTTCTAGAAAAGAAGGGCCTTTTGCATCTGCTTTAAGTAGGAAGCTGATTCCTGAGTCCCTCAGATCTGCTGAATCAGATAGCCAAGAGAGCCCTGGAATCTGCATTTTAACAAGTGGAGGTGGGTTGTGAAGACCTCCAGAGTTTGAGACACACATCAGAAGTGGAGTGGTCGGTGGGGGGGCAGACAGGAGAATGCGAAGGAGGAAGGGGTCACACTTGGGGAAGGTTTCAGACAGTACTGCGCGGAGAGGGTGATGCCAGGTGTGGGGAACAAAGGATGGAGGAGGCAAAGTGAGTGGAGCCCAAGCCAGACGGGGGAGGAGGGGGCATCAGCCAAGGGGAGACAGGACAGCAGCCAGAAGCCGAAGCTGACACTTTCAGGGTACGCCCCGCCCTCTCTTCGTGGCGATCTGAGATCCAGATCGTGGAGACCCTGGAGAGGCCCCCGACCTCGTTTCTGGGGCGGGGGTCAGAGACAGAGCCTCATCCCGGAGGCTCAACACGCGGATATCTGGATAGGCGTCCATCACTCCCCTGGCCAGAGCCCTCCACCCCTCCTCGAGGTCCGACCTTGTCCCTCCTTCTACCCCACAGTCCCTGGTCCCAGCTCATCTGCATAAAGCTCCAATTAACACGTTTTTCCTATGCTATTTGCGATCCCAGAACTCGTTTCCCGCACCGAGCCCGTTTCCCGCACCGAGCCCGTTTCCCGCCGCCCCCTCGCCCCTGGGATCGCGGCCGCAATAACCCTTGCGACCCGGGCCGCTCCCCGTGGTCCTGACCCCGCCACCCCGTCCTGCGGCGGGGGACTGGGGGTGAGGGGCGCGCCCTAGGGCGGAGGATCGCGCGGCGGGGTCTGCGGCGGGCCAGAGGCCAGGGATCTCCGGGAAAAAGGCAGGCGCACATCCACCCCTCTTTCTGGGAAGAGACGGGGAGGGGGGCTTCTCCTGGGAGACTCCGGGCGTCGAAATTCCTCGTTCCCTATCCTCCGGCCCCCGCACCCCTCCTCCTCACGCACCCTCTCCCCTCCCCAGCCATCTGTTCCACTCCGCAACGCCGCGACAAACACGGCTCCAGCTCGCTTCCGCCCCTGCCCAGCCCCCTCCCCAAGCCCGGGGGAGTGGGGGAGTGAGCAGACGCCCTTCTCCCGGAGGCCGAAATTCCTGCTTCCATCTCCCGCAGGGGCTGGCTGGCCGGCAGCAGGCGTCGAGACCCCCGGCCACCCCACACACCCCTCCGTTACGAGGGTCGGTGAGGCTGCAGATTACGCTTGCAAGGACAGGGGGCGGGGAGGGTGCAGGGAGAGTTTAAAGGACGGGCACGGCAAGCCCCAAGTCGGGGCTCTGGAGCCCGAGACCCGGGAAGCAGCAAGCGTTTTCCCCCTTGGGTCGCCACCCCCCGCACCCCGCACCCCCGCACCCTCTGCGCCAGCAGCAGCCGCGCAGCGCCGCCTGCCGGGCACACCAAGGGCCCGGCGCGCACGTGGGGCTTCCCCCGGGGTCCGTTCCGGCTCGCGTTTAACCTCCCCAGACTACTCGCTAAGTGAGGATCCCGGACAGAGGGTGCAGAGACCTGCGCGGGCCCTCTAAAAGCCGGCTGAACCCGCTTGTGGGTGCGGTCCAATTCTGATTTCATATTTTGCAAAAAAAAAAAAAAAGAAAAGAAAAAAGGCAGTGTTGGAAGTCGGGAGTCTGGGCTCAGAGCAGCCAAGGATCTGGATGTGACTTTGCCAAGTCTCCAGACCCCTGTGGACAGGTTTTCCTATCTTAAAATGGGTGGGTCAGTCTCACTTATTAACTTCTCAAGAGAAACAAAGGGAGGGAAGATGGTTTATCCCGAATGCTGTCTTACAGTGCCAACCTTTGGAGGTGGGGGAGGATGGCCAAGGCCTCTGAGGTCACTGCTAGCCCCAAGGGCAGCTGAGAACTGGAAAGCAGCTTGGGACCTCCTTTCTGCAGAGCTGTCCTTTTCACAAACTGCTGAGGTTCCAAACTGAGCTCCACCACCTTCCACTGTGTGCCCTCGGGTATGTGCCTTAACCTCTCTGGGCTTGTTTCCTAGAGCCACAAGAAAGAATGACAACACCCACCTCTTGGGCTATAGGTTGGCTAGAATGAGATAGCTGCGTAGAACAGACAGATCCTAAGCCAATGTTAGTTTTCTCTTCACTCAGGCACTTGCTCTAACCCCCCAGGCTCATGTCCCAAGGGCACAAGCAGGTGCAGGGCTGGATGAGTAAGATTCGTCTTTCTGTAGGATCTCTTGTCCTCAAAGATGGTGTCTTCTCCGGATGTAGATAATTTTAAAGCCTTGCTTTATTTATTTATTTACTTTAAAGCCTCAATTCAATGTTAAAAGTAAATGTAAATATAGTATAACAAGGAAGCTCAAAATTTGCATCAAGTTTGAAGATAAAATAGGAAGACTCCAAAAAAGTGTTACTTTCGGCAGGCCCTAGGGATGCTATGGTGGGAAAGTTTGAGTCATACCTTAGCATTCTTTCTCAAGCATTCTGCCCTAATCCCTCTGTATGGAGAAAAGCCAGCTTCCTGGATATACCCCAAATTCTGGGAAGTGGGGGGCAGGATCTGGACTCCCTCCAAGCACCAAGGGCAGGGCATGGTTAGGAACAGGGAGGTGAGTCAGACAGCCAGAGGTGAACGAGCTGGCATGTCAAGCGTCCTACTTAATGCCCAGCTGAGCCTGGGTGAAGAAGGATGGGGGTGTGGGAAGACATCCCCCACCAACCGCCAAAGACAGGCGCACACGAGCCAGTCTCTCCCTTCCCTTTTTATTTCCTCTAAGACTTGAAAGAAGCAGCACCAGAGAGGGAACCCGCCCTCCTGTCCCTGGAAGGGGCTGACCCCCAACCTAGGACACAGCCAGCACCCCAGGCCCCTTTCCTTCTGAAGGGCAGGCTGTCTCTCTCACATTCACACACAAAGACCCATGCATGTGTGCCTACTCATGGCACATGAGACCTTAGGGCCGGCCTGTTCACCGATGCCCCCAGGAGGCAGACTCCTAGAAGGGGAGAAGAGGTAGCTCCACACCCTGGTCCCCTCCAATCCAAGGAATAAGAAGGCTCAACCCCTCTAGAATTGGGACTGTCTTCAGTCAATGGAGCGTGGCTTTGGGGGACGTTTTTGAAGGTTTTTTTTTTTTTTTTCCTTTTTGCAGTCTTTACAAAAATAGAACTTCTCTTGGTATTTATAAATCCACGGCCCCAGCTCTGTGTGCATGTTACAGGTAGAAAAGCCATATGGGGCACTCCTTTTGGTTGCTCAGGACTTGACTGCCTGTCATCCAGGTCTCCGGGTCTCAGAAGTCTATGCAGTCACCTCAGAGCCACGAAGCACCTTCAGTGGGCCTATCCCGTTGACGGTGTACTCCTTCTGGAGCCGGGCACGGTAGTAGAAGAGGTAGGAAGGCAACAGGAATCCCAGGAGTGAGAAGAGCAGGAGGCCCAGATTCACCTTTAGGGCAAGGAGGGAGCAACAGAGTCAGGCAGGTACTCATCTGCCCTTAGCCTCCAACAGGGAGGAGAAGGTGGCCATTTTTCTCCTGAGCCAGAATAAATACAGCTAATACTTATATTTATTTAATAAATGTATTTAATAAATAGAGCTAATCTGTGCACTTGTAATCCCAGCTATTCGGGAGGCTGAGGCAGGAGAATCGCTTGAACCCAGGAGGTGGAGGTAGAGGTAAGCAGAGATCACACTATATTGCACTTCAGCATGGGAGACAGAGCAAGACTTCATCTCAAAAAAAAAAAAATTCAGCAATTTTGCAAAGTGGCTGAGACTGCTTGTGTCTAACAAGTGGCAGGGCCTGGTGGATGCCCATACCATACAGCACTCTCTGGGTAAGTGTGAGGAAGACACACCACTGTAGAGTCTGGGCTGGTCAGGCTGCTCCTGAAACTGGACCTTTTGGGCTCACCATTCTGACCTTTGGAGGTGTTAACCAATGGGTTCCGGCTCAGGGTGGCGAGAGGTTGGCTCTCAGACACAGCTCCAGGAGCTGGGATGCCCAGCCTGGTAGACAGAAGGCTTGAAAGGCCCAGGACACATGGGCTCTGACTCGGTTCGCATACCACTCTGCATTACTCAGTGTGACTTTGGGCAAATAATGGCAATTCTTACCGAGTGCCTCCTTCTTAGGGCTGTTGTGGCAAAGATGTAAGTAAAAAAAAAAGTTATGCACAAGGGTCGGGCGTGGCGGCTCATGCCTGTAATCCCAGCACTTTGGGAGGCCTAGGTGGGCGAATTACCTGAGGTCAGGAGTTTGAGACCAGCCTGGCCAACATGGTGAAACCCCATCTCTACTAAAAATACAAAAACATTAGCTGGGCGTGGTGGTGCATGCCTGTTATCCCAGCTACTCGGGAGGCTGAGGCAGGAGAATCGCTTGAACCTGGAAGGCGGAGGTTGCAGTGAGCTGGGATCACGCCACTGCACTCCAGCCTGGGCAACAGAGTGAAACTCTGTCTCAAAAAAAAAAAAAAAAAAAAGTATGCATCATGCTTAGCACATGGCGAGTGTTCGGTAAATGGAAGCGGTTATTTCATCACAGTCCTTGCGGGAGGAGGGTTTATGTGTTGGTGGCCCCACAGGGCACATGAAAGATCAGCAGCAGAGGAGTCAACGTAAGGAAATGCCTGTCTACCAGCAGCAGGCCGCTTTGTGCTGGACTGGGTGCCCCGACACTGAGGATATCCAAGCTAAGAGGGAAGAACCCCCTTTTCAGGGGTGCTGGAGACAGGATCCCATGCTAGGTAGAGCTGTGTTGAACCAATTGTGCCTGAACAAAGGCCCAAGAATCAAGACTGGGCCACTTCAAAAAGCACCTGAAGTTTATTGAAAATGACATGTAGGAGCCAGGCGCTGTGGCTCACGCCTGTAACCCTAGCACTCAGGAGGCCGAGGTGAGATCATTTGAGGCCAGGAGTTAAGACTAGCCTGGCCAACATGGCAAGACCATGTTTATCTCTACAAAAAACAAGACCACGTGTATCTACAAATTTTTTACAAATTAGCCGGGTATGGTAGCCATCACCTGTGGTCCCAGCTACTCAGCAGGCTGAAGCTGGAGCCCAGGAGTCCGAGGCTGCAGTGAGCTGTGATTGTACCACTGCACTCCAGACTGGGCAACAGAGCAAGACACCTTCTCTATAAAAAGTAACGATAAATTAAAAACACAAACAGACTCCTAGGCTCAGGCTGAGATATCCTGATTCGGTGGGCTGGGGAATCTGGATTTTTAAAACACTCTGTGGGGGGGTCTCAAAGGCAGGCAACTTGGGAACCTGCAGATTAGAGGCCTCAGATGAGTGAGGGATAGCACCACATACAAGATGCCTCTGGCCACATACAAGGCCCCACCCCTGCCCCCAAGAGAGTGGCTCTAACTCCCCCTCCCCCCACCAACCCTGGTTTTTACCCAGAAGGGCTCTCCTTTCAGGGTTTCCACCATCGCCATGAAAAGTGGCTGCTGCAGCAAGGCGAACACAGCACTGATGAGGGACTGCAGGCCGGTCAGCGTCCCAAAGTGGTTGGATGGGAACCTGTCCACGAGACGGGGAGCATCAGGGGTGCGAGGCCCTCTTCAGCCCAGGCCAGCACCTGTCCTATCCCCTCCCCAACAGGGTCCCCATTAGGCAGGCAGGGTGGTGCTTCAGTGTTCAGGATCTTTGCATGGGCCCTTTGGTTCCCAGCCTTCAGGGCAAATGCAACTTCAGGGCCACTGAGCTGAATGCCGACACCCCCTGTATGTGTGATATTAGCAGGCGGCTCAACCTTCCTGAGCCCCACTTCCTGCGTGAATAACAGGGAGGGCACTGACCTCACAGGACTGTCCACTGTAGTCTGTCAACAAATATTTAGCCGAGAACCTACTATGCGCTAGGCACTGCTCTAGGTGCTGGAGAGATCGCGATCAAGCAAGCCCACAGATTCCTGCCCTCCAGGAGGTGGCCTTCCGGCGGAGCAGGCAGCGGTCAGACAGTGAGCAAGAGAAACGCACAGAGTGTTAGGCAGCGATACACGCTAAGGAGAAAAACCAGAGGAGGAGGCAGTCGAGAGGCTGCAACTGTGCATGGGACAGCCGAGGGAGGCCCCACTGAGGACAGTCAGGGAAAGACCCAACGAAGGAGAGAAGGCTAAGTAAGACTGGGAGCCTTGCAGATATCTGCAAAAGAATGTTCTAGAAACGGACTAGTACCGGCAAAGATGCCAAGCAGGGAACACGCTTGGGACTTCCGGAGCACTAGGAGGCCACTGTGGCTGTGGCAGAGGAAGCAAGGGAGGAAGGGGAGCTAGAGAGGAGGGAAGTGCTGGGACCAGATCTTGGGAGGGCTTTTTAGGACACAGTAAAGCCTTTGGCTTTTACTCTGAGACAGATGAGATAGGACGACACAGAGTGATGTGCAGAAAGACTTATGTCCTGACAGGTGACTGCAGCCCCTGTGTTAAAAATAGGCTGAGGGAGGGGGCAGGGCAGACGTGGGGAGACTAAAGGCTGCCACAGTAATCCAGGCTGGAGATGTTGGTGGCTAGGACTGGAGAGGCAGCAGTGGAGGTGACAAGAGGGGTCAGATTTGGGGTATGCGGAAGCTGCTGCTGGCTGCACCGGGGCTGGACTGAACACGGAGGGTAAGGGAGAGAAGAATCAAGGAAACTCCAGGGTTCTGACTTGAGCAGATGAAGGAAACAGAGCTGCCCTCTGCCGAGACGGCTGCAGTGAGGCTGAACTCAGGGACGGATGGTCGAGGACCCTGCCTGCTGCCTACCCCAATGAATCACTCGATAATGGTTATGATTCTGTCGTCACTATTGTAATGTCCTGTTACTCCATCACACACACAGGGGAGAGTCCCTCAGCAGCGCCCAGCAGGGGAAACCGGGAGAGAGAAGTGGGGACTGTCTAACATGAAGAGGAAAATCATAAGGCAAATGGCTGCCCTTGGGAAATTTCAACAGGGTGGGCATGGAGGGGAGGCCACTCCAGGGGCCATTTCAAACAGCAGTCACAGGACCAAAGCGTCATCACGCCAGGTATTTCAGCTTCCTCTAAGGGAAGACGCCAACAGGGGGAGTCAATTACAGCGGGGTAAGCTGCCTTTAAGGAAGTAAGCTCCCTGCCATCAGAGGGGCTCAGAGAGGGAGGGGTGCCTTAGGGGATGCCTGGGGCCCTTCCAGCCCTGCCCTGGATTCTCTGATCACGGGTGCAAAGCTCAGGAAGGCATTTCAGCCCAACACTCACACGGCAGCATAGAGGCTCCCGCAGGCCGAGTGGAAGAAACCTCGAACAATGGTGTGCAGGAAAAAGGTCACAAACTAAAACCAAAAAGAGCATGTGAAGAGGTTAGGAGAGTGTGTGGAGGCTGGAGGAAGGAGGGGTAGGGCGAAGAGGCCAACTGGGCCTCAATTCCTACCCCCTTGCCAATCCAATCTACTATAAACACTTCCTGGAGAACCCAGAAAATAGATCCGGAAGACCAGAACCATGCTTCCGGGAAGGCAGATGCTGGGTGGACCATCCCCTTGGAGGAGTCCCGGGAGGCAGGGAGAGGGGAAGGATGGAGGTGGGTACCTGGAGGTGTAAGTTGTTGATGAGGCAGGTGATGCCAAAACCCACAAGCAGCAGGTTGGTCAGGGTAAAGGCGTTGATGGCATTGGTGAGCTTTTGGATCTTGCAGTAGCGTGGTTTGATGGATTTGGTAGCAGCCCCATCCCTGAGGAGAACAGGAAGTCACTGGCTGCTGCCTCTACATTCCCAGAACTCCCTGGTTGTCAGCCTGGCCCCTCCCGCCTCAGATGTGCCTTCGCCGTTGGGGCAGTAGAAAACATGGGAAACCCACAGACACTCGTGTTCTCTAGCTCCATGTTACTCAAAGTGCTGCTCCCCTGTACAACGGCGCAATCATCAAAGGGGCTGCTTTCTTAGCCTGCAGATTCACAGACCGGATCACTGAGCCCTCGGAATCTCAGTGGGGAGATCTGCAAATCTACATTTGGACAAATATCCCCCACTAAGTGATTCTCATGCACACTCGAAAGTTTGAGAACCAAGGATGGGAAGGAAGGTGGAAAGCAGGAGGCTCTCACGCTGTCTCTCATCGGAAGTCCTCAGGAATGTGTCCCTGCCCTGGACAAAAGCAGATGCCCTCCTGGGGACAGCAGGTCGGCCTGGCTGTCCAGTGCTTCCTCTCTCTGGCACGATCGAGGACCCTGAGGCCAGCTGAGGACAGAGGTCAGTAGGCTGGGGCGAGGACAGGCGGCCCATATGTCCTGGATAGAAGGGCCCTGCTAGGGAAACCTCGTCACATTAAGGGCAGAGGTAGAGGAGGAAGGCCAGTACCAGGGCCAGGCTCCGCTAGCAGGGAGGGAAGCCGCTGGATTTCCTTCCTTCCCAGTCTCTTTCTCTCATCCTCTCAGGATAAACAGGGACTATTTGGATGAACACGAAAAGAGCAAAAGCAGTCACAGAATCTGGGTTCAAGACTCAATGGCGAATCCCAGCTACTGGGGAGGCTGAGGCAGGAGAATCACTTGAACACGGGAGGCAGAGGTTGCAGTGAGCTGAGATTATGCCACTGCACTCCAGCCTGGGTGACAGAGCAAGACTCTGTCTCAAAAAAAAAAAAAAAAGACTCAATGGTGTTCTCCAGCCAACAAGACAGCCCCCAAGGATCTGGGCTTGTGAAATTCCCCCACTTTGTGCAAT